AAAAAATCAAAATGTGATCAGAAGATAAGTACACATGGATGTGCAAAATCATTGTAAACTGAAGTGCCAGAATTTTCTGAGTATGTTTGAGGAGATTTTCTTTCAACATATGCATCGTGAATTATAAGTGCCCTAGCCTGTCAAGGCTTTAAATAACCATTAAAACTGAATTAGAAATTAATCGTACATGCAAATTGCAACTAAGTACAAAATGTTTGTACTTAAAGGTGAATTCATTGATGTTCTTACACTCTCCCTCCCTTCTCACCTGCAGAAAATGGACCCATAATTTTTAATTTAATTTAAAAAAGTTTGTGAAGATTAATTTCACTCTCTCAACTTACTTTACATATCAGTATCTTTAACTCAGTGCCCTACACTATTAGAAGAGTTGTGAAGCTACCCTGAGGCTTGAGAGATACCTTGGTGTTACACAGCAACCTGAAAAATACAGCACCTCATTGGTTTTATGCGTTAGTAACCACAATTAGAAAACTAAAGGTAAACCTTTGTAAGGCTCCAAGGACCAGTTATTTTTTTCAAAAGTGAAACGAGGCAGTGCTATGATTTGAAGATTGATCTTTCACCTGTGGGGACCAGAGCTTAAATCTACTTAGATTGATGCAAAGAAAGGCTACCCTTTTGATGCGATGGTGCTAAATGAAATGAATTTGAACAGTATCATACCAGCTCCTAAGTGGGCATGGGCCGAAAGCACAACAGTGCTTGCAAATTGACACTGAGCTAGCAAACTCTGCCAAAGAGACCATAAGTATGGCTGATATGAGAAATAGAAAAACTCACATGTAGGTGGTATGAGGTGTTCTTCCAAGTCTAGGGTTTAGACACACTGAAGGGGAAGAGGACTTTGTATTTGGACATACTATGCCTAACCTTGGAGTTCTTGATGCTAACACCATAAATGTCCATCATGAGATGTATTTCATTCCCCAATACTGACATTTCCCCAGTATTCCCCAAATAAAGCACTTATGAAGATATGTTCCCCTCCATCAGGACCCTTTTAAAAATTAAAGTTACAAAGAATTATTATTGACATAGATAGCTAATATCTGTTTTTTTTTAAACAGTGAATGCTGGTATATCATTGGGGTACTAATTTTGCTGGTTACTAAATCCCATTGCGTAACCCTTCCAAGCCAGTACATACAATAGTCATCACCATTCAGTAAATTAAAATAATTTAAAAAACGGTCTTAATGTTAATCTGTGTTACTTTTTTTAAAATCCTATGGTGAGACTCTTTATTCGCTAAGATGGAAAATCAGTACATGTTCACACAGCTCTCAGCCTTCATGTTCAAGGAAGAACCTCCAAGTTTAATGAGACAAAATCAATTATGAAGTTAGGTGAAGATATATTTGTTTAAGGACATACACCCAGATACACATATGGTTTACAGAATTCCCATGAGTGGAAAGAGCCCAGGTTCTGAGGAGTCGCACTGAGCTGTTAGTTAAAATCAGCTGAAGCTTATTTATTATTGATGTTATAGATCTGACAAATCAGTGTTTGGGGACAGATGAACTTAAAATGTCTTCTTGCCTTTACAAATGAAGGGAGAATTAACATAATAATCTTGTATTTACATTTCATGTGATTAATGTTTATACACATATTCCCCATAATTTAAATGATCATATTTGCTGCCTATTATCAAAAATTGCAAAGTTGTTATAGATGAAATGCTCTTCGCAATGGCAACAGTATCTACTGGTTATGTATCACATTTTTATTTGATAAATATTAAATGCTATTGTTATCAGTAAAATGAAAAGCACAGACAAGACCACATGAAGGGTTAGACTGTGTTTTGAGAACAATGAAAACTGAGAAAGCAATTACTAAAACAATGAGTTATATGTGAGTTCCCATTTATTTATCTATATTTATATAACACATTTACTGTACCTGAAGATCTGACCCTGTATCACAGATGTTTTCCTAGTTTTGTCAATTATATATTTCCCATGAGACACAAGAGAAAACAATTTAACAGGAGCTAGTTTGTCTGATTTAAAGGAGCACTTTTGTCTTTTTATTGTTACCTTGTGCCTTGCCCCATGATCTGTATTGAGTTTTTCCTGTATCAAAAAATATTTATGTGTTTATAGGATCTTTTGAGAAGCTAAAGCCAGAAATGACTGAATGGTGGCCTTTTTGTTTTCTGTAAACAAAATCTGTATTGAAACTGTTATCGATGCATTCTGACAGGTGTTATGATTCTTGATACCCGTGGGTCCATCATATGCACTATGGGTACTTGCATGTTGATTTGGCAGGATTGTGTTTTGCATCACCAAAAAATAAAAAGCAAGATGTATTTTATGAAGGAGGGCATTAGTTACTTGTCATCACTTTAAGCTGCAATGGCCAATCGCTGATCTTTTATTATTATTTTATTGCCCTACGATCTGACAAATGCATTGACTGTTTGCAAACCTCCACTTATTAGTTGTAAACTTACATGCATGTAGCATTTCTTCTTATTGTTCTGAAGAAATATGGTTGTTGGTAATAAAATGTACAGAAGTCATAGGTGTCAACAAACCACTTCACTGAATTTATCACAAATCTTTTTGTTAGTTAAAAGACATAATGGAAACAATATTCTAGATTTGCTGTTTTTATACTTGAATTCTACTTTAACGCTTTCCCAAACTTGCATACATTTGAATAAAATACCTCCAACAGAGGGATTGGTGGGACACTTGAAGAAGTAGCCAGCATAAATACTTTGAAAACTTCATGAGCCAGTAAAAAGGATCATCCAAGCAGAATGTGTGAAGTCTGCTGATATTACAGGTAAACCATAGAGTTAAACAAATACAGTACTTTATTTATTATCAAGTTATTTTAAGCGAAGGAAAATCACTTACACATGGCTGATTTTATTTACTTATTATACTATGCTAAAGGTAGTGTTATCAAATTCGTAAGATACAATGAATTAACCAAGCATTGTTACATAGCTTGTTCTGGCACACACGTCAGCAGTGTGTGGGTTTATGCGGCCATGTTTGTTCTTTGTACAATTTCTTTGACGTGTGGCAGTCGGGGGAGTGGGGGTGTCAGACGGAAACAAATGCAATATCTTCAAGTTTTAATCTTAACAATGTAAATTATAATACTTTTTGGAGATCAGCATTCATACCGAGGCCATCAATTGGGAACGGGTTGTTAAAGTAAAGCTGGAATAATTATTAGTCATGAAAAAGCTTAAATTCAGAAGTCTTCTAAAGGAAGGTCACAAAACTAGCTCTCAACTATCATGAAAAATCATCTGCACTTGAACAAGTAAATACAAACAATGTTGTCTCAAAATGAATAAGCTGCTTATATTCAGTTAGTTGGAATTCATGCTTCCTAAATATATCATACATTAGTTCCACTACGTGCTATCAAACATCTCTAGTTATATAAACTTTGTGAAACATGTCTGTACTCACTCAAGAGATCAAAGAATTAATGTAACCAGGACAGTGGGATGAACAGCACAGAAAATTGATCTTAAATTGCTTTATTTATAATCGAAGAAGATTTATCCTAAGAAACATTTTGTAATCTTCATTGCAGAAATGGGAATGGCTTTGAAAACTGAAATAAGTGTATCAAGTGTGATATGATCTTATTCGTCCATATTTTAAAGCAAATTAATATCAAAGAGCAACATTTTGGGATCCAAAACAATGTCACCACTATAGTTCTAATCAATATAACTGTTTGAAAAATGCTGTATTATATTTCCAGAAAGGCCACTGACAGACTATTTAAGCTAGAAGACTATTTAACCATGGATGTAAATTAATGGTGTGAATCTAAAACACATCGATGTTCTGAAATGTAATTCAGTTATCAATGAAAAAGCTGTTACAGTGTGTCAAGCAGGAAACTGTAGCATTTTACTGAGATTAGTTACACGAGCTTTTACTTTTTTTTAATCATTTAGAAATTTGTCATTTTGAATACCAAAATGAATAATTTGCAAAAATAAAATGCACGCGTGTCAAACTTTTATTGAAGCATCAACCTTTTCTGGAAATTTCATAAAAATTGGAATTGAAATCCACTGACATGATTTCGCTGGGACAGTACACCAAAATAACTACTTTACTACACAAAAATCACACTGTAATGTTGCACATGTTTATGTAAAGGCTGCTTATTCATTTTTGCCTGACAGAAGGTGAAAATACCTTTGTGATTAACACAATGCTACTTCCCCTTTCAGATGGCACTTTGTGGAAAGGTTGAGGTATTTGCAAAAGGTGCCAATTGTTCATCTGATAGTTATTAAAGAATAAAGTAATGCTATTTGTGTTCTTTCGTGTGGCAGTAATATCTGCGTTGTCCTTAATATTACCCTTTGCTTTGCTCTTAATATAGACCCAAATAATACTCTTTGCTGTGCTCTCAGTAAAATTAAGTATTTCTACTAAACTTACATACACACTGTTGCTGAATATCTTCAGCAAAACACGAAACGCTTACATCTGACACTGTCGGACATGTTTCCCCTAAAAATCAATAAGACTTTAAAGGAAGATAATAAAGCCAATGCCGGTTCAGTTCCAAACTGCCTGGTCATCGTGAGAGTGTTTTTTGAAAGCGGAATTATCTCAGTGTAGATGAAAACAAACCGAAGGAATCGAGGGGGAGAAAGAAGGCCCCACTTCTATTTGGGGCCATCCCACAAAATGGGACTTCAGTCACACATGCAGATCGATAAAGGCGGTCAATACTCTTCACGCCAAAGGGATCGACCCCAAAGGGTTGCATTACACAACACTGACCGTTCGGGGGTATTAAGTGCGCGGTAGAACATCCCTTAAAAGACGTAACGTACCAATAAATGGGTCCCCAGTAACTTCCCAAAAGTCTTAAAAGTTAAAAAAAAAGCAACAGGTGCAAACCCCAACCCCCCCCCCCCCCCCACCCCACCACCCCCCCCCCCCCCCCAAAAAAAAGAGGCATTTTACCTGAATTAGCGACATTCTGGTGGCCGGAGCCTCGGTGGGGTTTGCCCCCTGCCCAGAGAAAGTGTGACAGACCGCATGGCCCTGGGGGACGGTGAGGTTGTTGGAGGTGGGTTTCAAGTACATAACCTCTGAGCGGGGGGAGCTGAGCGGCAGGCGAGTCTGGTAATCGAAATAAACCGGGGAAGATGCCAGGGAGGGGCTGCTCACCACGTTCATCACATCCCTCTCCTCCACCTCGCTCTGCACCAGCATGATGTCGTTCTTGCTGATCTTCTTCTTCTTGCTGCTCTTGCCCAGGTGGGGGTGCGAGTACTCGGCGATCCTGCAGTTGTAGGTCCTGATCTCCTTGTTCTCCCGCTTGCACTTGACGGCGATGGTGACCATGGCCGTCAGGAGGATGGCCGAGATGGAGCTGAGGGTGACGATCAAGGGCAGGGACATGTCCCAGTGGTGGTGGTGCTCCTTGTTGACCCGGTGCTGGTCCTTGGGGGCGGCTCCCGTGTAGGTGATGATGACCAGCCTGGCCACGGCGGAGAGCGAAGGCTTCCCGTGGTCGGACACTTTGACCACCAGCTCCGAGGTGGGCGACATCTCCTCCCAGAAGGGGTGGGTGGTCCTGACCTCCCCGGTCACCGGGTCCATCTCGAACAGGTGCTGGTCGTTGCCCTCCGCGATCTCGTACGACAGGCGCCCGCTCTCCCCGTAGTCGTTGTCCACAGCCCTGACGGTGGCCACGGTGTAGCCCACCCCGGCGTTGCGGGGGACGTGGATCTCGGCCGTGTCGTTGAGCAGGAGCGGGAGGACGATGACCGGCGCGTTATCGTTGACGTCCAGCACCGTGACCCTGACGGTGGAGTTGCTCTCCAGGTGAGGCGACCCCGCGTCTTTGGCCAACACCTTGAACTCGAAGGACTTGGTTTGCTCGTAGTTGAAGGATCTCAGCGCGTAGATGGCCCCGTTGGCCGGGTTGACCGACACGTACGTGTAGATGGACACGTCGCCCACGTGCGAGGGCAGGATGGAGTAGGACACGCTGCCGTTCTGCCCCAGGTCGGGGTCGTGAGCCAACACCGAGCCCAGGTACTCCCCGGGGATGTTGTTCTCGGGCACCTGCAGCACGTACACGGGTTTGGTGAAGCGGGGCGGGTTGTCGTTCTCGTCGGCCACCTTCACCGTGAAGGACCTGGTGGCGTTGAGCGGCGGGGAGCCGTTGTCCCTGGCCACGATGGTCAGGTTGTACTCGTCCGTCGCCTCGCGGTCCAGCGGTCTGTCGGTCACCACCGTGAAGAAATTGTCGTAGTTCTCCTCGAGCTTGAAGGGCACGTTGCCCACCACCCGGCACTGCAGCTGCCCGTTCCTGCCGAAGTCCCGGTCGGTGACTTTGACCAGGGCGATGACCGTGCCGGCGGGGGCCGTCTCGCTCACCGCGCCCTGGTGCACCGACACGAAACTGATGGCCGGCGAGTTGTCGTTGGCGTCCATCACCCTGACCGACACTTTGCAGTGGGCGGGGATGGAGTTGGGACCCAGGTCCCGGGCTTGCACGTCGATGTCGTAAATGCTGCTCTCCTCGTAGTCGATGTTGTCCTGGAGTGTGATGACCCCCGTCCTCCGGTCGATGGAGAACAGCTCCCGGATCCGGTCGGTCACGTAAGGGCTGAAGGAATAGATCACCTCCCCGTTGGTGCCTTCGTCCGGATCGGTGGCGTTCACGTCGATCAGGAAGGTGCCCGCGGGGGTGTTTTCCACGACCTCCACCGTGAAGGTGGGCTCTTCGAACGAGGGGCTGTTGTCATTGGAGTCCACCACCTTGACACTGATCTGCATGGTCCCCGATTTGGGAGGTTCACCTCCGTCCAGAGCCGTCACCACCAGGACGTGTCGGGGCTGATCTTCCCGGTCCAGCGGTCTCTGGATGATCAGCTCCGGGAATTTGGTGCCGTCCCCCCGGGATTTCACGTCGAGCCCGAACAGGTGGTTGGGGGTGCTGATCGTGTAGGTTTTCAGACCGAATTCGCCGGTGTCGGGATCGTAAGCGCTGGTCAGAGGGATGCGCGTCCCCGGAGCCGCGTTCTCCGAGATCTCGATATCGATCTGCTCGGAGGAAAAACTTGGCGCATTATCGTTGATGTCCAGGATCTCCACTTTAATCATACACAGCTCCTTGTCGTTGGCAAAGACTTCCAGCGAGACCACACACTTGGGAATCCGTTTGCACACCGTCTCCCGGTCGATGCGCTGCTTGGTGTACAGTAACCCACTTTCAGGATCCACGTCCAACAAATGAGGGGCTGAATTCTCCAACACCCGAAAGTTAGGTTTCCTTTGATCTGAACTCGTGCCCAGACGAGCATCTTTCGCGATGTTCCCGATCACAGTGCCCGGTCCTTGCTCTTCCAGGATCGTGTATTTCAGATTCTTCAAGGTCAGAGCTCGAGTCCAGAGTAGGAGGAACATGAAGATATGTAGGTACATTCCCAGCACTTGGTTTCCTATTTCTCTTATTTTTTTTTTAACCTGTTGATTTACAGCTCAGACAACAGATGAGCGTGTAGCCGCTTACAAGTATGGCTGCGTCTCACAACTAGCATTTCAAAAAGAGACTTTGACGCCAAGAAAAACGTCCCTTGTCACCATCTTGCATTATAATTCCTTAGACAATCGTGACCGACACTTTATTCCCTTAACCACCTACGGATCTCTTTTATACGGCAGAGGGCTTTGAGATGGGGCTTCTGTGGTATTATATTATTATATCCTGGAATGCGATTTCCAGCTTCCCCCCCCCCCACCCCCCCACACCCCTACAACGAAAGCGAGTGAAATCCAAGCGTTTGCAAAATGCGGTGGTGCAGCCCGATGTTCCAGTTTCAAGGTTTGTCATCTGTTTCTTCCAATTTCAGAAAATGCAGCTGCTGAGCATTTTGCATGCTGCACACACACACTGGCTGGATGAATATCTCTGTGTGCGCCTATCTCCTCTCAAGAAAAGCGGCTGCAGCAATAGCGAGCTGTCAGTGAATCGCACAGACTGAAAAAAATACTTTTCTTTCCCACCCACACCACCACCACCACCACCACCACCACCCCTTATCTCCACTTCAAGAGCAGCGCTTAAAAGCTTTCTGTGGCAGGTATATGATTTCCGTGAAAGTCTTCCATCTCCAGTTCACGCGATCGACAGCCCTGAGTGACACTTACGGTGTAAAAAGAATAGATAGAAAAAAAAATCTGCCTCCTGCTCTCTGTCTGTCTGTCTCTCTCTCTCTCTCTCTGCAGCAGCCCCGAGCTGTGACACACGGGTTACTTTTCCTGTTGATTCTCCTCACTTATAAAGGGTAACTGAGGCTCTTGAGTGGAGTCCTGTTGCACTGTCTGGGCTCAGCGGTGAGTGACACTCACAGACTGGATGCTCTCTGCCTCTCTCTGTCCTGGTGTGTGTGTTGTGCTGCTCGCCCGGTGCACACTCTTTAAGGCTGCTTTGGCGAGCTCTCCCTTCGCAGACACTCTTCCCAGTCTCTGACTCGATCAATTCCCCCTACAGCTTGTTAAACATTGCTACATGATGCCTCTCCGGCCAATGGAGCACAGCGTCCTCTGGCATCGCCCAATCTGCACCCGACTGCGGTCAGACAACCCGGCCAATGGAGAGGCGAAATGTCGAGTCTGGAGGCGGATCAGAGGCGGGAGAGGGACGGGGAGAGAGAGAGTGTGTGGGGGGGGGGGGGGATGTTGGTGGTGGTCGGGTACCGGCGAGGGAACGAGCAAAGGAAAGCGCGATCCCGTTGCTCGTCCCAGTCCCTGGTCCCGGAGTCGGGCTCACGCTTGTGCAATTTTTACATGCGCTGTTTATGAATGAAGCGATCAGCTCGCTGTTGCGTGTCTGTGTGTCTGTCTGTCTGTCTGTCTGTGTGTCTGTGTGTGTCTGTCTGCATGTCGGTGTGCGAGCCCGAGCTCTCAAAAGAAAATGCAATCGGTATAATTAGTTTTTGTTTTGGGTGTGGGGGGGGGGGGGTGGGGGGGGGGTTTGGGGTTTTTGTTTTACAAATAAATCGTATTACTTATTGCAGAAGTATAAGTGTGTGTGTGTGTGTGTGTGTGTGTGATCGACTGGGTAGTTATGAAGAATAACAACGCAGCTCCTGGAGGCGGCGGGAGAGTCGGATACAACAAATGAATACTAACTAAACAGCGTTTAGCGCACGTCAGTGCTGACGGCAGGAAAAATAAAACCAGACAAGAGCTTCGGGAAAGGACGCCGCCTCGGCCGTTCCAAATAAAATTCCGCGCAAAGAGAGGAAGGACGGATTTTTTTTAAATTTTTTTTTAAAAAAAAATATTAAAAAAAAGGAAAGGTCGGACGACGTATTTTTTGGGGGGGGTTAGAAGAACAGATAGCAGGCTGCCGGGAAGCGGGGAGAGAAAAGACCTGCACAGGTTGGAGGAGGCGATGGTGGTGTGAGGGACTCGGTCGGGACTCGAGGGGAGTTGATGGGCAACAGTGCAAGTAAATGCCTCGTTTGTCACCGTTCATGTCGCGATCTGAGAAGGTCGATACGAAACACCTCACCCACCGGGGCCAGTGTCGTACGAGACATCCGAGGCTGTCGCAACCAAGGCGGTAGTTTGCATTGCATGCGAATCTCATCGAAGAAACGTACCGCTGTCCGTCGCCGAAGCTTTTGCTCAGTCCCATGAGCATCATCGGCGCTAACCGACCCCGGTTCTAACCCCCCGCAACGGGGGGAGAATTGCCCCTCAGAGCGAAGTTGTTTCCACGCTTCGTTTGCCGTCTAAATGCACGAATGCACCGCTTCGCTTCGGATTCAAAGCGAGCGCCTGCATTCAAATAAAAGGATAAGTTAACCCCCCAACTTTCATTGGCGGTGTTACCCAGTGAGACATGCAATAGATGGCATGTAAACCCACTCCCCTTCCTCCCCCACCCCCTCCCCTCCCCCCCCCCACCCCACAGATCGGCATGCAAGAGAGCACCCACAGCCACCCGCAGTTTGTTACAGTCCCCTGTGTCTGGAAGTGTGAGCTTTAATGCAAAATAAAGCACAAGATGCGAGTTTTGTAAAGGAAGTCGACTCGTGTCCCCCCCCCCCACCCCCACCCCACCCCCACACACACACACACAAAACAAAATTGGTGAAAATGTTTGATCGCGATCAGGTCTCAGTGAAATGTGCGATTGCTACAGGAGCAAAACCTGGCAACGACTCAGCGATTCTTTTACAGAGAACAAGACGTTGACATTTATTGCAGCAGAAGTTAAATTCAAATGGATTATAACAGCCCTTAGACACGCACTCCGTCCCCACCAGCAGACTTTTTGCTATATTTTGAAGGAAAAACAGAATTTGAAATGATTTGCATAAGTGGTCTTAGTTCAAGGTAACTATCTACAGGATAATACCACGGCTTTCACTTGTTAAATATGGTAATCATTCATTGCTATGCTTTGTGACATCCCAACTCACAAGAAAACAATATTTTTGTTTCATTTTTGGCAAGGCTCTCTTTTTTTTTGCCACTGCAGGTATGTATGTTGGTGGACAGCGATAGATGGCAGTCTCCCATGTTCAAATCGGACCGTATGAGTCGAACTGCATCGTATTGGATTTTATTCCATTGCAAATCACAGGGAAATACAGTGCCTATATGAGCTGTGTAGGAAAAAAAAATAACAGGACTAGGAAAGATTGAGAGCTCTGGGTGATGCTTATGATACATCATGATAAGATGTGAGAATGATGCTCTATTGGCTTGCGAACTCATCTGAATACACACAGGGTCTTGTACCCTTCCACACACTTCCAGGCAATTCTTGTTCTGCACAATACAGATTTTAATATTTCCACGTCGATGAGCTTTTGCGTTCGAGCTTCTATCCTCTCTTATTGCAGCCTCAACGCCGCTTCCCATCGCATTAGGATTGGGGTTACCATTATGTTTTCCCAGGTGGCTGCATATAAAATGTCAGGAAAAAGTCGTTACGCAGAAACCCCAGATGATGGGACTGTGCTTCTATTTGAATTAATTGAGATAGAGGCAGTGTTTTACTGGGAAAAAACGATATGATAATAGTGGTTTATTGGATTCAAATATCTATGCAAAAATATGTTATATTGTGGCAGTACCCTAAATTGAATGAGCTTCTCGAAACTCTTTGCACAAATGACTATTAGAGAAAATGATAATGCAGGGAGAGAGGTGCATTGAGAGCATAAGATAAGAATGAGAAAAGGCTTTTCGGCTAATCCTGATATTTAATTATTTACACATGACCTGCTCACCCTTTTTTGAGTGTAATCCATTCTCTACTTGTTGGTAAATGTACTGGCTCTGTATTGGATGTGTGTTATTACCTGATTATCAGTAAGTTTACAGGTCTTGGTGATGTACGCTTATAATGTGATGTTCTCATTAAAAGTGTATGCACCAAAGTTGATACGTTTACCAATTGATTGAAAATAATATATGTACAATAATAATGGAGATTATTCTCCAATCATTAACATGTACACCAAACTCTACTGTGAGGCTATAATGGAAAATATTATAAACTTTTTTATTGGTGTGTCAGTTGTCTGACATATGCAGAAACTCATCATTATGCTTAAGAGTATCCAAACTAGACAGAGTTCCACATGCATATGTCAGCTACACATGGAAGTACCACTGTGTTTGGAATGAAAATGCATACTCTCCCTGGAGGGACACCCCTGCTTACCTATTTTTGGAGAGTATTAGATACAGTTTGGTAAAAGCTGAGGCTTAGGGGCCCCAGAGTCTGTGTTGGGGTATTGGTGGAGGTAAACCAGCTAAAATCACAATTTGCAATTGAGAGCACTGCCTGGCAAGCTGTCCATTGGTTACCGAGGCCAAATCTCCCTACCATTTGCCTTGCAGAGTTAACAGAAGCTGATTTGGAAGAATCCCTGCCTCCAATAACTGGTCTACCCAACGATTCCAACCTTCCATCAGCACCTTAGAACCAGCTCAGCTCTAAGGGGACCCAGCTTATGTCCTCCCCAAAAAAGATGTCAGCTCATCAGCATCAGTAAATTTACTAGGGATCATCAAATTAGGCTCAAGAACAGTAGCAATTACTGAGAATTACGAAATATTTTGTTCCTGCCACAGCATGAGACCCAAATCTCCCTATTTCCACTGAATTAAGTATCTGTCCATTTCTTTTCTGACTGAATGCACAGAGTCCATGTTCACTGTGCTAGATGGCAGTCTGTTCCATAAAATGAGATTCAACCATTTACTTATTCATTCAGTTGCATTCCTCAGCTTATAATCATATTTTCCTTAGGGCGATTAGCTTTTTGTGATAACTCATTGATTTAAGACACAGTAACATCAATACACTAGAGCTGTTTCCAAAACAGCTTTTGGTACATACAATATAATGTCTTGGATACAATACTTCAGATTTGATCTTGACATAGAATGTCAGTGATCTTAAATGGAATTTGCATAAATTCTCTATTGCTAAATCAACTCTAAGAAGCTTGATTTCTTCTTACATGCAAATATTTACTTTCCACTCAACAATTCCTAACTCTCAATAAAATTGTCCAAGATTTAAAAAGTACTCCAATATCTCTGGTGGTCTATCTCGTTTGGAATTTCTACTAGGGTGGAAGAACAGGGTTGTCATCAGATAGATGATATTTCCTTCACACCTGACTACTTGGGGTCTTGTTTGACCATTAACTATCCTTTCTACCCTATATCTGCGCCATGACCTGATCTGCCTTCCCCCACCTCTGCAACTTCCCCCAGCTCTGACACTGTCTCACACCGCAGGCTGCCGAAACCCTCATACATGCATTCATTACATCAAGGCTCAACTATGCAAATTCACTGCTTGTTGGCCTCCCCAACTCCTTCCTCCACAGGCTGCAGATCATCCAGAAATCTGCAGCCCGTGTCCTCTCCCGCACTAGGCTCTGTGACCCTATCACCCCCATCTTTGCCCAACTCCACTGGCGTCCCATCACTCAGAGGATACAGTTCAAGATTCTGGTCCTCACCTTCATAGCCCTCCACGGTCTCACCTATCTGACCTCCTACCCCCTACTCTCCTGTTCGCTCCCTCCACTCAGCCGGCTCCGGCCTGCTTCACGTCCCCTGCCTCGCTCGCCCCACTATTGGTGGGCGGGCCTTCCAGCAATCTGCCCCCACCCTCTGGAACTCCATCCCACAGTCTCTCCATCTCGCCTCTTCCCTTGCCATCTTCAAGACCCATCTCAAGACCCTCCTCTTTGACCATGCTTTCAATCTCCCTGCTTCCCCCCTGCCCTCCACCCTCCCCCACCCCGAACCCCAGCTCGGGTCCGTAACTCTGTCTGTCCAGCACATTGGGACGTCCTCCCAACATGAAAGGCGCTATACAAATGTAATTTTGTTGTTGTTGCTGTTGTTTTTACTCAGTTTTCATCATACTTTCTAGTCTCTGTTAGTTGTATTTATACCAATATGGAAAATAGCCCTTAATACATTTTGCCTTTATTCTTTCTAATTTCATATCCTCCTTTCTGGATCTTATTGAAATAATTTGTTTAGCTCATTCTTACTGAGGACCTTCTTTTGTGCAACTTTTTCATTCTTCACCTTCTGAGCAATGAAAAAGTTGAAAGAATGAAAAGAGGCTCCTTCTGGACTTCTGCTCGTGTTGGACAAAGTCCAGTGTTCTACAACAGATCCCTGAAGGTGTTCTTTAGGTCTGGAGAGAGCATTATGCGGAGTTGGCATATGACCCAACAGGCCGTAGCAGAGATCCACCTGTATGGAGGATGGAAGAGCTGGTTGGAGGTGTAGAACAGATTGAAGGCCTTAATGACCCAATCCGTTGGGAGCAGGTGGACTCCGCATTGCGGCACCTTGCTAATGACAAGGTAGCAGGTGCGGACGGCAATAATACTGTTCCTAAAAGCTGCTTGGGGGATGACGACTGGAGAATGGTGAGAATCTTTTGAGTCCAAGCCAGGAACTCCAACTGGTACCTGCTAATCACCTAGTGAGGCCTCAAACCCGTGCTTGTTGGATGTCAAATGACCAATTAATGATTATCCTCTGGGGGTGGGGATGGCTGGCAAGGGGGAAATTTAAGCGGGGAATTGAACTGGCTCCAAAATGACATGTTAAACAACGCAATGATGGAATCAAGCCAATCCTCTGTAGTGGTCTCGGTAGTCCAATTCCTGAGCCAAGTTCGTCTGCAATGCTTCAAGGTACTGCTGATCACAGCTTAGCCAGACTGGCACACTATCAGGATTTGGAAGAGCAGACCAGTCACTGGGACAAGGACTCTTCTTATTCTTCTCCTGTTAACCCTAAAAGCAAAAACCCTAACTGGTAAGGTGGTCCCAGTTGGTAAAACAGTGGGAAAGCTTGCCAGACAATGTTTTCAATGGTAAGGGTATGTGGTTTTAGCTGGTTAGACTCCAGCAGTATCCCCAATAAGCATAAGATGCACACTCTAAGGTCCCAAGCCTTGGTTGTTGCCAACTAGTCAATACTCTCCAGAATTAGGTAAGCAAGATTTGTTCCTTCAGGGAGAGTGCACATTGCATTCCAATAAATATCTCTGAAATGATTAGGTGGAATGCATGGATTTCTCAGTTTGATTTGGATACTCTTAAGCACAGTGATGGGTTACTGAAAGTCAAACTCCCGCTGACCAAAAAACTTCCTCATATAAGTTTAAAGTTAAACTTATTGTCTTATTAACACTTCTTTTTAATTATTTTATACTTGGTTCCTATAAGGATATTTGGTGGAGTCTTGTGCGATAAGCCTCACTATTTCACCTAGATTTTTAAAAAATAATCGTTAGATAAACGCAGATATGCCTTCTATATTTTAAAGATCTAGTAAGATTAGTTTGTGTTAATATTTTGAAACATGCTCCTAACAGGTAAGAAAAATAACATTTCTAAATGGAAATGCATTATTAGAAACAGTATGTTTGCCCACTCGCAGTAGGCAATGAAGCCCACTGTAAGGCATCAGAAGTAGATGGTTGAGTTTCCAGGTTTTGGCTGCGAAATATTGCCAGTTACAAACAAGATTTCCTGTTAATGACTGTAGTTTTTTATTGGTGAATCCCCTTGGGAACCATCCCCCTTTTAACTCTTATGTATAACGTTATTATATCAACTGCATTATCCATATAGAACAAAATGTAATTTTTTGCTGTGTGTAAATCAATACATTTTAGGAAAAGAAATATACTTTCCTGTATGATTTGATGATAAAGGATTATATTTCAACTTTATTTCTTAAGGAAGTTGTATGCCAGAGTTCATCTTTTATGTGACTCATAGCGAGCTAACATCTTGTTCTTTATTTCCTTCCCAGTAAATTCTATAGTTATTATTTTTAATTTGAAATTTGCAACTCATACATATATCCTAAATTTCAGAGAGAATGTAAAATATGTAGTATGTTTTGACCATTAAATGATTTTTATATAAATGTGCTGATTATTATTGCAATTCTGGAGAATGTTAACAATGTAAACAAAGCACTGTAAATTCAGTCTTCCTTTTTTTTATATAAAGCGTGTGGGCTAGAAATCCATTTACTTAGAAGAGTAGACACCCACGTGTACTCTTTTTAAGTTGCTGATACACGTACATTAACAATGAAAAGCACTGATGCTTCAACCTACAAAATGCACTGCTTTTGCATGTTGTTGCCATGAAATAATTGCTTTACTGAAATCTTTGTGAGAGACCCCCCCAAAAAAATGATTATAATGCAATGCAGAGATGATTTCTGGTAACAATGAAATACATATAGAGTGAAATATCAGATACATAGCTGTGTGTTTGAAAAAAGGGCAGCAGTGTGTTTTGAAAAGATTTGCTTTGAAGTTGTAGGTGAAGCTTCATTTCATCATATAAAGAGATTTTATGTTGTTACTATTTGTAGCCTAAAGACCTTTTCTTTTGCTTTTCTTGTTATATCTTATTTTACTATGCCCACATATATTTGTGAGAATGTTTCCAAAAGAGTTTATTTGCTTGCACGTAGTATGTAGTCAATAGAAATAAAGGGATCAAAGAGTTTTATTTGAAAACAAACAATTTATTAAGTGATAGCTACCAATGATAAGCAATACATACTGGACAACTGAGAATAAGCAGACTGATTGTGGGATGAAAGTACAATGAGCAATAAAAGGATTGCGTGGTTTAACATTCTGCATCTTTGTCTTCTGGGACCCATGTACACATTTGTTTAAAGTGAACATTTTTCTCTTTGGCACTTGCAAGGATCTGAAGTGAAGCAAGTTTCAGTAACCACAATCCAGTTTTAGCAGGCGTGGAACTCTCCATAATGCAACCTGAATTGTCAAGTTCCACCCAGAGCTCAAAAAACAGTACTATAATTAGGGGATGGAGGGTGGCGGGTGGGTTACTCTAATTTACAGATTGGGCTAACCATAGGTAAATGCATTTGTAAAGTCCTTTTGTTACGGTTTCTTGGCATAATCTACTGTGATGTTGATGGGGAACGCCACTGAAATTGAGAAAATTATATTGTTCAAGTCAACAGGAAAAAGTAAGAAGGAACTCAGGATAGTAGTTATGTGCTCAAAAATATATACAAGCCATTCTGGAATCCTTTTCATAAGAACACCAGTAATATCTCTCTTTACCCAAGTTTTCATACATGATTAGCATAGACTTGCCTATTAGACCACAGTATACTGTATTCATACTGGGTCAATAGGAACATTTATAAAAATAATCCTTGCATTTGATATGGCACTTTAGCACATCTTCGAGATGTCTCAAAGCGCTTCACAGAATATATCATATTCTGTGAATATGACTATATTTTGTGGGTGAAACACAGCAGTCAATTGCGCACAGTAGTGTCCCACAAACAGTGGTGGATTGAAGTGACCAATTTTTGGGGTATGGAATTATTATTCCCGGAAAAGAAATCCACCAATCGACTAACAACTGGGTTCCTTGGGGAAACATTTGCAAGAGAATTGCTCTATATCATGTTACAATTGATCTTTTTGACTCTGACCAAGTTTTCCCAAAAGTTTGAAAGTAAAGACAAGCTAACAGTAGATGTGTTTCCTTCAGTTTTCTTTTTTTTAGAAAACCTTTTATTGGTTTTTCACTCTATGCAGAATTACCAAAAAGTAACTTGCTTCTCCAGTCTTATGTAGTGTTGAAAGATGTTGGCTTGGGTCAAACAATACACAGTGTGATAGTGGCAAATAATGCTCTGTTGCTGCTACCACACACTAAAGGGAATGATTACTCAATGCCTTGCCATGTGTCTCATGATTGACTGTCCCCAACAGCGTATGAAAGTGCAACATTTAGCCAACCAGAGAACTGTACGTTCAAACATATAATGAGTTGTAGTGCCTACAAGTCGATTTTTTGTTAGAAAAATATATGTAGCTAAAACTACACTACAAATGAAGAGCATATTCTAGCATTTTTGCCTGACAATGTTTTTGGAAGGACATAGTACTTCACTGGAATACTGCAGTAGCTACTGGCAAAAGATGGGTTGTCAATTGCGAGAGAGACAGGCTTTAACTGGTAAGTACAGGGTAAGTAGATCATCTATAGGTTTGTATATGGAATTCCAGGTCTAAACCTAGCAGATTGTGGGGAAGCTTTCAACTGGAGGCTGTATGGCAGGATAATCGGCTGGAAATTCCAGTCTATACTTTGCCTTTAAGGTCATTTTGACTTAAAATTTTAAGATGGCAAATAATTGTAAACTTTGCTTAAATTCAGTCTTAGTTTGCAACTTCCAATTTAAGACTGAATTCAAGTGTTATCTTATACATATGCATATATTTCCTCCTTTAATTTTAAATTCAAATCTATTATTTTTTGAAAACATAACTGTTGTCATGAGTCTTTACTTAATTCTTCCTGTAAATATTTCTTGGATGGGTATAATTTTCCCAACTTTAGGGGAGTTCCTCATCAACACAGACTACAGTTTCCAAGAAACTGTAAATAGACACTGTTAATGTCTGTTGCCCCCAAAATGGATATATTTCAGGCCCTTTGCACAGGATGGACACAGCTACCGTATCCTGAAAATGAATCCAAGTTGATTCCTCGCAGGAATTTCAGATTTTGTTTTACCATTATCTTTCTACTTTACTCTTCAAACTACTTTGCTCATTTGAATTAATCTATGTGCTGTATATTACATAAATTCTACTGCCAATCCTGCTTACATAAACATAGGATGTAGGGAGCAAAAACTGTAACATTTTGACACATATTTATTTTGGTCAGGCACATGCAGAAATCCATCACCATGCTTAAAATGACCGAAACCAGACTGAGAGTTCAACGTACGAACAGCTTCTACACATGGAAATTTCCCAGTGCCTGGAATAGAATACATACTCTCTTCCCTGGAAGGACGCATCTGCTTAATTCTGGTGCAGGTTCATGTTAGCCAAGGTTGGGGACCCAGCATGTGCTTTGTGGATATTAACCAATTAAAACCACATAGCTTGCCATTGAAGTCACAGTTGGCAGGCTTCCTGTTGTTTATCCAGCTAGGATCATTTTACCTATTACACTGCTTTCAGGGTTAATAGGAGCATTAGTTTAAGGAAAATAATAGAATCTTCATCCCGAGTGACCAGTCTGTTCCTCCGAATCCCTCAGAGAAATCAGACTGGCTGGTCTGTCAGCAGCAATTTTTTGGGGTATCATGAACCTGCCTGGCTCCAGAACCCAAATCCCGAGAACACCAAAGAGGGTTGCTTCAATTTCAACAATCTGTTGCCAAGCATGTTATTTTAGAGCCAGTTCAGATCCATGGAGGATGGTAGTTGGTCATTTGATATCTGAAAAGTGTAGAGATGAGCTTTGACTTGAATTTAACAGGCAACAGTGAACTTTCTGGTGAGCAGCACCACTCAGTATGAAATGTGTGAGAGCATTGCTGCCATCCTCCTGCCCATGTTTCAGGCACACATCCCTGCTCATTGATGATTGGGTACACAAATTGAAGTATGGAGCTTGAGGAGCAGCTACTCACCTCACTGCATACCAAACAAGGTGGATACTGAGCCCAAGATATATGAACATGTGTGAATGAACTTGGACGCTTCCAGCAGCTATCGCCTCAAGCCTTAGATAAATAATGGAGCACCTCAGCTTCAACGATTCACTGAAGTAGTGTCCTTTGTCTAAGACTACCTATCTTTTACAGGTCAGCGTCATGAATATGAAAGTCATGATTTGGGGGCAAACTGAAACTCAGGACAGCAAACAGATAACAGATTACCTGTACAGAAATCAATAAGCAAAAAGGTAAGCATTTTAAACACTTTCATGTTACAATGAGAGATTAAATAGATTGCTGTTGAAGGTTGAGGAAAAAGGATAAAGTACTTTTATTTTCTTGTCCTTTTGTGTTTTTCTATTGCCACTCTCCATGACATATTTTCCACCGGGCTAAGATATTAGAGGAGTCGATTTGATGGATTTCTCCAAACCACCATGATTACTGGTATGGTAGAAGGCACTATTCAAGTTGGGAGACTGCAAAAGAATGTGGAGCATCAACATTACAGTCACTGAGCGATTGTGTATGTATTATGTGCTGGAGATACATCAAGAATGTCTGCAATTCACATTTACCAGCTTCTGAATTTAAATGTGCCCATTGGGATTCTGGTCATTTTACAATATATAATAATAATCCTTACATTTGATTTCTAACCCCAATTCACAAATCCCTGCTATCTATACAATGACTAAACATACATACAGATATGCATGCATACATACATACACACACACGCACCCACCCACCCACCCACCCACACACGCACGCACACACATACACACATACATACATACATACAGACATACAGACATACAGACATACAGACAAACATACATACATACTTGAATGAGTGGATGGAAGGAATTCACCCACCCACTCCACTTCCACCAAGGAAGGATGGACGGGCGGGCGGATGGAGGGAGGGATGGATGGATGGTGATTCGAACTACCTAGCCACTAGTTTGCAGTGCTTGGTCTGGGCTGTACACTCCAGTATTGGCGCAGGTGGTATACCTGACATGACCTTCTTTTTGCCAAACCCAAATTGATTTAACTTCCTTAAATCCTCTGTGGAGCGAAACACATTTTATTGACAGACAGCTGTGGGACTTAATTTTACCATCTTGATTGCTCGACCAATTGAACCACTGTGCCAAGGGATTCAATATACTTAAGCAATACTTTTGAATTAACTAACAACACAGCTTGTATTTGAAATGACTAAACTTCAAGACCCTCACACTTGTGGTTAAATCCCTTCACTCTCTGGTACCTCCCTACTTTTCCGACCTCCTCACTTCCCAATCCACCACCTGGCGCCTCGGCACGACTGGGACCGGGCTCCTGCTTGTCCCTCGCACCCTCCGCCCCACCATTGGAGGTCGCACTTTCAGCCACTATGGCCTGAAACTCTGGAACACTCTCCCTCACTCCCTTCACCTTGCCCCCCCTCTCCCCTTTTTCAAGTCCCGCCTGAAAACCTTCCTCTTTGATTTTGCTTACGGCCACCTCCCTGACCTCTCTCCCCCCGGCTCAGAGTCCGGCTACGCCACTGTTAACCGCTCTGAGACTCTACCCTGCGTGGAAGGCACTGTACTTGACCAGATGTGTGGGAGGAAGGACAGCTGGGGGTCAAACTGGATGCCTAGATTGGGCACTGGTTCGGTGAGTGTGAGGGAAAGCCCAGGGAGGTTGAGGAGTTCAGATCAGCAGGAGTGAAGCCACTGATGGGAGCCTTAGAGAATGGCTTCAGCTGCAAGAAATTTGCACTCATCCAGGCCCTGATGTTTGCCAGACAAGCTAATAGAACATTGGTGGATCTGGATGAGGCAGGATAGATTTGTGCGTCATCCGCATACATGTGGAAGTTTACCCCGTGTCTAAGGATGACATCGCCAAGAGGGAGCATATAGATCAGGAATGAAGATGGCCAAGGATGGAGCTCTTGGGTTCCCTGCAGGTGACCGGGCAGGAGCGGGAGGAGAAACCACTTGCCGAATTGAAATGGATGTGGTTAAGTAGGACTTGAACCTTGTGAATGCGGTCCCACTAAGGTGGATAAGGAGGAGAGCCGATAATAATAATAATAATAATCCTTGCATTTGATATAGCGCTTTTCACATCGGGAGGACGTCCCAAAGCGCTTCACAGAACACACTGTAAAGTGAATTGACTGTATATTTGTGGGCGAACGCGGCAGCCAATTGCGCACAGCAATGTCCCACAAACAGTCGTAGATTGAAAATGACCAATTTATTATTGTTTTTTTTTTTGGAGGGATTATTATTAGGCGTGTGGAGTAAGGAAACTTGCCCAAGGTTTTGCCCTGCCTGGAATTGAACTCAGGTCTCTCGCTTGCAAAGCGAGTGCTCTAACCACTGAGCTACAGGACTCCACAGTGGAGGAGGATGGCGTGGTCGACTGTGTCAAACGCGGCAGAGAGATCCAGGACAATGATGAGGCAGAAGGAGCCCTGGTCACAGATAGAAAGGATGTCGTTTTCATAGAATATTTGCCATCTAAAATAAAATACCTTCAAGTCTTACAATAATCATACTTTTTCTGATGGTACAAGCTGACAGTACGGATCCGATCAAGATATAATTGAGAAGTAGAACATGATGTGAAGTAAGTACAGACATTATATAATGCCCATGGGTTTGTTTATGAAGCCTTATTCAATTTTTAGGTACTTTATGCTGCAGTCAGCTGCCAGTATTGACCATATGTTTGATATGCAATGACATTGACAGAAGACTTTGTGACATCAATGTCAAGCTCGATGTATATTAGAAAAAATTTACTCAATGCTGTTTTATATATTTCCCTAATTATTTAATACATTTGTTTCATATTCTGTCACCAATATTATGGTTTCCTAAGAATTTCACATTCAATTTACCTTCAGACTAGAAAGATCTTAACCAAGAGTTATCTGAGTTGCAGTTCATGCGACTAAGCAATGTGACCAAAATTGTTTAACTCAACAATTTTCTCTTTTGACAATATTCTGCCTTTTCATGACTATTTTAAAACCAATAATTTTACCCATTTGGACTTATGGATACTATTTCTGTCTTTATTGATGTATTACATAATGGAGAAAGTTTACATAACTAGTTAACTAACACACCCATGCGCAGGCGATGATGTAGAATCAGTTAACCCAATAAATTTACAGCACAGAAAAAGACCATTCAAGCTGTGGTGTCTGTGCTGGCTTTGTAAAATGCAATCCATTCAGTCCCGTTTAACTGTCCTTTCCCCATATTCCTGTAGTTTACCCTGAAGCAAACCTGTAGTTTGTTTGTTTGTTTGAAGTATGAGAAAACCATATTTTACTTCTCCTTTTGATACTTAAAGCTAGACTATCTCTTTACAAAAACAGCAGAGATGAGAATTTGAATGGCTTCTCCATTGCTCAATTTCCAATCCCACCACTCGATCTGGGTTTTAGATAAATGCAAGTTGTATTGTAAGTTGTTGTAATTTCAAACACTGCAACTTGTGCATCTGGTTTGAAGATGTAACTTAAAGATGGGAGGATATCTTTGGTGAGGGGAGAGGGGAACTAAGGCACTGGCACTAACCCTAACCCTATGTCAGTGATAAATTAAACACAACATCTGGGACTTGGAAAGCCTGAGAGAAGATCTGAAAGAAGGCCGATAATGTAAATGGTTCTGTGATGTTGAGGTTTGAATGCTCCGACACGCTACCCCATGTAAAGAGCATTAGATAAATGCAATTGTTGTTTATTCCTACTAAAAGCAATAGGTGGAGCATCAGTTAACTCTGAACACTGGGAATAACCCTGCCTCCCCCAACACACTCTGATACTCCACCCACATTTTGTGTTTGTAGGACATGTTTGCAAATTTTCAGGTGCCTTCACCTAGAAAAATACAGAGTCACGTCACTACACTGTATCCTGGAAATCATGTGAAGGGCTTTCAGGTGTCCACTTGAAAGTAGCTATATGAAATGCAAGAATTATTATTTTTATAGCAATTGAGTACGAAGAAAGTTCAAAGCAAGAAATTAGTGGCAACCGCTATTCACATAGGGCAAAAAATCAAGAAAAAAGGACAAGAAAACAATACAAAAATAGAAAAAGAAGAGTTAAGAAAGCAGAATAATATATTAATACCATTTTTACAGCTGCACTGAAGAACGCAGAATGGACATTATTTGCACAATGCACGTGGGAGTTATATAATCAATGTCTAATTGTATCATTGTGGAAAGTAGAGATTCATACATGGTGGAAAAAAAATTAATGATAGTAGCTTACCACATCAAAGTGTTTCAAAACACTTTACCGTAATTACTCATACATGCAGTGACTATTTCATTGTAGTTGAACATGGCAGCAATTTTGTTAACAACACGATTTAGAGAATTCTCTTTTACTGTAATTCTCTTGGTAGTTCAGTACCTGAGTCAGGCGGGTCTTCAGTACTCCAGGGCACTGCTGATGGCAACCTAGCTCATTGGCAGGACTTGGAAGGGCAGACCAGTCATTGGGGGCAGGGAATCATCCCACTCAGCTCCTATTAAACCTGCAAGCCAAAGCCCTAATGGGTAGGGTGGTCATAGCTGGAAATGTAGTCGGAAAGCTTGTCAGACAGTGTTATCAGACAGTGTGGAGTCCTGTAGCTCAGTGGTTAGAGCACTTGCTTTGCAAGCGAGAGACCTGAGTTCAATTCCAGGCAGGGCGAAACCTTGGGCAAGTTTCCTTACTCCACATGCCTAATAATAATCCCTCCAAAAATAAAAAAAACAATAATTAATTAGTCATTTTCAATCTACGACTGTTTGTGGGACATTGCTTTGCACAATTGGCTGCCGGGTTCGCCCACAAATATACAGTCAATTCACTTTACAGTATATTCTGTGAAGCGCTTTGGGACGTCTAGAAGACGTGAAAAGCGCTATATCAAATGCAAGGATTATTATTATCAATGGCAAGCAATGCGGTTTTCACTGGTCACATTCCAGCAGTACCCCAACACACACTCTGGGATCCCCAACCCTCGGCTATTGCTAACCTGTGACTAATACTCCTGAAATAGTAAAGCAGGATATATCCCTTCAGGGAGAGAATCTGTATTCCATTCAAATAAATATCTCTGGAATTTCCATGTAAAAGTTAGATACATGGAACCCTCAGTTTGGTTTGCATACTCGTAAGCATGGTGATGGGTTTCTCCAAGTGTCCGACACCTGGCTGACCCAAACAAACATTGTGGGTGTGATACCAGTGGAATAAAATCCCAGATGAGGCAATAGAAAAAGTGAACAAATGTGAGTGTGTCAGAAAGGTTGCAGGCTGTTAGAATTTACACTTTTTGTATAATGTTAGAATCATAATAGATGTTGCGAACGGGTTAACTTTTACGTTAAGTGTGGGGGGGCAACTGGACTGAAATTCATGAGTTACACCCAAGATCACGTGAGTGTC